ACAACAACAATCGTTTAATACGCTAAAACAGGAATTACTGAATAATAGGATAATGGCTTATTTTGATCCAAGAAAGGTCACTGTTCTTATAGTTGATGCTAGTCCAGTAGGTGTTGGCGCGTTAATTACTCAGGATGGGAGAGTTAACGCATATGCAAGCCCTGCGCTTAGTGATGTAGAAAAACGATACAGTCAGACAGTACGGACACAAATTTACACTCGTTACCGATCATCAACCACTGGAATGTATTTTCAACAATCCAAAATCTAAACCGCCAGCGCGAATTCAAAGATGGAGATTAAGACTGCAAACCTATGATATCGACGTTAAGTACAAATCAGGAAAATCAAATGCCGCAGATTACATGTCAAGACATCCGAATATTAACGAAGCAAATCGAACTGATCATTCCGAGGTAGCAGAAGAATTTGTGAATTATATATCAGAGAACGCAATACCGAAAGCAATGACAATTGAAGAGTCCAAAGCCGATACGAATATTCAGTATGTCATCAAAATGGGGAAACTGGGACAATTCATATGACAATAAAACTCTTGATACGTTGGCTTGTTTAAAGAACGAATTAACGATAGTGAACACAGACAAAGGAGAAATCTTGATGCATGATAATAGGATTGTCATTCCGCACAAACGTACGGACCGTGTTGTAACACTGGCACACGAAGGTCATCAGGGGATTGTGCGAACAAAACAGTTACTAAGGGAATAAGCTTATTTCCCCGGAATAGACAAACGTGTAGAAGATACATGTAAAGCTTGTATTCCGTGTTTAGCAGCCACGCCAAAGAAAACTTTTGAACCGTTAGCTATGTCAGAACTACCAGATGTACCATGGACATATCTTAGCATGGATTTCTGTGGACCATTTCCGAGTGGACATTATCTCATGGTGATAATGGATGAGTATTCACGATATCCAGTTGTAGAAACACTTACTACGATTTCTGCAAAAGCGGTTATTCCACTACTTAACAAAGTATTTTCAACATTTGGAATACCGAATATAGTGAAAACGGATAATGGAAGCCCGTGGCAATGAAAAGAATTCAGAGACTTTGCAACTTATATGGGATTTACGCATCGAAAAATAACACCATTATGGCCTCAAAGCAATGCAGAGTGCGAGCGATTTATGCGTAGCATTGGAAAATCTATTAGAGCAGCACACAAGCAACATCAAAATTGGAAACAGGAAATGTTTACGTTCCTTCGTAACTACAGAGCTACAAAACACGCGACAACGGAAGTTTCACCGGCAAAACTTTTATTTGGTAGAAATATCAAAACCAAATTATCAACTTTAACACCAAAACATCAGGACAATGGAATTCGAGTTACTGATAAGAGAAAAAAGGATAAAATGAAGGAGTATGCAGATACAAAGAGAAATGCTGAACCGTCAAATTTACAAATTGGTGACACCGTATTGGTCAAGCAAGACAAACAAAATAAACTTTCAACTCTGTACAACTCTAATCCATACAAAATAGTTGAAAGGAATGGTACAATGTTAACAGCTAAAAGAGATGATGGACACACGATTACTCGAAATTCTTCGTTTTATAACAAGTTAAAATACCACCGACAATTGTAAACAATGAGAAAGAACAAGTAGAACCATCAACACAACTAAGGACGTCAGGAAGAATAAATAAAACACCGGCGTACTTAAAAGATTATGTGAAGTAATATTATGTAAAGTTATGTGTAGCTAGTGAACAGGCATAATAATCCTGAACTCACATTTAACTAAGCATCACGCTTAGTATTTATGATCAAGTGAATAAGTTTTAATTTTCTGTGTATCGTATGATGTCTCTAATACTATTAAGACTGAGAATACCAAAAATTACACATTAATTCAGTTCTGATTGCTATATTTACCGCACTGAGAACTGTGTATACAACACACCGCTGTTTTATGGACATCGTTAATGTATTTAATAAAGAAAATTCATTTTATGGCTAATTTCACAATATATTAATTTTATTTCATTTTATTACTCTACTGACTGATAAAGATTAAATCTAGAAAGGGAGATGTAATGTATTGAAATTGATCAAGGTCACTACAGAACTTAATTATTTTAACAGATGCAGACCGGTATAATTGCGTCTTATGATGTGTGTAATTTGTATTAGTTTATCAGTTGTATTAAAACCATGAAACTGTGCAGACGACTTTATTATCTCTCTAGTATATAATTAGTAGCTATTTTACAGTACTTGACCTGGATTTCCCCCAAACTATTATAAACGGTACCTGACGATTATTATCCCTTACTTATTTTCATGGTCCTCTGGCGAGGATTTTTTTCAAACTAGTCTAAACGGTACATGAAAAGAATAATATCAATGTGTTAACGACGGTTCCTGACGGGGATTATTCCCAAATGGTCTGCATAGTACCTCACGAGGATAATCCCAAAGCAGGTCTGCACGGTAATTGACGAGGATACTTCCTGTCTGCACGAAACCTGACGAGGATTATCCATGCTGGTTTTTACGGTACATGACGAGAATTAGTTCAAGCTGGTTTTCAGGGTACCTGACGAGGATTATTCCAATCTGGTCTGTATGGTAGCTGACAAGTATTCCAATAACTGGTCTGCACGGAACCTGACGAGGCGTATTCTTAACCTGGAATGCATGGCACCTGACGAAGGATTATACCTCACCTTCTACCTGGTACCTGTCCAGGATATCCATATATTGCCTTTACGGTTTATGGCAAATTGTATTCCTTATATGTCTGTACGGTACCTGACAAGGATTATTTCCTGAATGGTCTATTAGGTACATGACAAGGATTATTCCATTACTTGTCTACATGGTACCTAAAGGGGATTATTACCTGACTGGTTTCCAGAGTCAAAATTGATCCCCTGACTAGTCTGCACGGTACCTGACAAGGATTATCCATACTTGACGAAGATGATCCAAACTGCTTGTTTATGACCAAAATACAGTATCCAGAGCATTATTTTGAAAATATTTATTTTCATTTTTCCGTATTTTACTAATAAATGAACTTAGTTTTTTACAGTTAACATTCAGATTTAATCTGAGGTTAAAGGTTTTCAGTCATCAATAACTTTGTCAAACCTTCATGGAAGTTTAGGAAATTTGGTTAGAAGCTTAGTTATGACCAAAATATAGTATTCAGAGCAAATTTACGAAAATATTTGTTTTCATTTTTCCGTATTTTACTGATAAATGGACTAATTTTTTTTACATTTAACAAATCGGTACAGTCTGGGGTTAAAGTTTGTTACACATCAATTTCTTTATCAAACCTACATAGAATTTTATGAAACTTTCGCAGAAGCTTTTTTATGATTAAGAAATAGTGTTTGAAGCAAACTTTTGAAAATATTTTCTTTTTCTTTTGGGTATTTTTCTGATAGATGGACTTAGTTTTTTACTTTTCCATTTACAGACAGTCTGGGATTAAACTTTTTTGACATGATAAATTTGCAAACCTTCATGGATTGTTATGAAACTTCGACATACGCTAATCTTCAAGACCATGAAATAGCATCTAAAGAAAAAGTTTGAATTTTCTTTTAAGTTCTGTATTTTTACTGATAAATGGACTCACTTTTTAAGTCAACATTATACTTTTACACCGCGGAACCTCTCACGAATTTTTGTTATTTAAAGTTTCTATTTATCTATTATGATTTTTATCATATAAGACAAAACGTAAAACAACTGGTAAAAATTGACATTAAAGAGCAATAATTCCAAATAATGAATCGTCGTACAATTTCCTCCATATTGCCTTAATTGTAGATATTGTCTTTCTAATCATTTTTGCTTATTTAAATTCTATCTATCTATAAAATTGTTTAAGATCTAAGGCAAAAACGCAAAAAATGGTAAAAAAACGTCATCAAAGGGCAATAACTCTAATAAGGAGTCGACTGACGATTTCGATCATGTTAGACTTATTGTAGATCTTGTTTTGCTGATCATTTTTGCAATTTAAAGTTTCTCTGAATCTATTATAGTTTTCGAGATAATAGTCAAAAATGAAGAAACAAAATTGTCATTTAAGGACTCAGTAACTCCTGTAAGAAGTCTAACAGTTTTGACGTAATTAGACAATTGGTAGGGCTCAACATACTGAACATTTCTGCCCCTGTCAGATTTTCTCTATTAATTACGGTTTTCAAAATATTAGACAAAACTTGAATTTTATCCCTATGTTCTATGTTTAGCCATGTCGGCAATCTTGGTTGGCAGGCGGGGTCATCGGACACATTTTTAAAACAAGATCCCCTGTTGATGATTGTGGCCAAGTTTGGTTAAATTTGGTCCAGTAGTGTCAGAAGAGAAGATTTTTGTAAAAGTTAATGGACGACAACGACGGACGACGGACTACAGACAACGGACGCCAAGCGATGAGAAAAGTTCACTTGGCCCTGTGGGCCAGGTGAACTAAAAATGAAACATTGTTCAATATAGTATAAAGCAGTAAATTTTCTGCATATTAAGCAAAAGAACACATCAAAACTATCAGACCGACCGGAAAAAATGAAATAGAACATATTAAAACTATCGGATCGACCAAATAGATAAAACAAGTACGCATTTAAATTATAGAATCAACCAGATTAAAAAAAAAACACACACACACATGAAAGTTATTGGACCGACCAGATACACCGAAACGAAAAGTAAAATAACAAAGATACCGAACTCTAAGGAAAATTCAAAACACACGAAAACAATCGGATCGACCAAATAAACCAAAAGATCACATGAAAACTTTCAGACCGACCAGATTAAGCAATAAGAAGATAAAGACTATTGGACATGATAATTAAAAATAAATCTTTAGTAGAATAGCTTAATTTTGTAAGCATAGATGACCAATAATTTGATGAATTACATTTCTTTTATTCTTGTGTTAACTTAGTACTTAGTTTTTTAGATAATAGAGTATCTATCTTATATCTATTTATCTAACAGGCGATGTTTGAATCCGGTTGTGACGGCACATGCTATCCAAATTTAAAGCTGACACTTACTTCAAAACCAGAAGTTATCATTTTTGGGAGAACAGTTGAAATAGACATACAATTGAAAGTAACCAACTCAGACGATCAATCTCATGGGACAAGGTTTATTATCTTAACATCAAACAACACGGATTATCTTGGTTTTTATCAACCGCAGAATGAAGGAACCGAGTTAGGAACTTGTATAGATCAAATGAATGCTTCTATTGTCTACTGTAACCTTAATAAGACTTTCTTTCAACAGCAAGTTGGATTATTTAACCTACGGTATAATGTTTCTAGACACCGATTAACAGATCAATACATTGATGCATATCATATAACCAGGAGTGTTGTATATACTGTGAATGTATCATCAACCAGTCCTGATTTTGATTGGTCTGACAACAATCGTCAACTAGAAGTGCCAATACAATATGTATCAGAAATTCAACTAACAGGGTGATTATTTCATTATACCTTAAATAAAAGCGCAGATTGGATTGATCATAGAATGTCCATTACAAAAACATAAGAAAACAAAAAACAAAAACATACACGGGCACAAAAATCAACCAACTCCAAACACTATTCATCAAAAATATGTTAACACTTTTTTTTTAATTTTACCAGACATATAGTGATTAAATAGTGAAATATTCGAGTACGTCTCAATCCTGTATCATGTTGCTGTGTCTGTCTAAATTCAAGAACATCCTCAGTGGTTGACTTTACCCTACATTATGTTGTTGTGCTTGTCCAAAATCAAGAACATCAACAGTGGTTGGCTTTACCCTACATCATGTTGTTGTGCTTGTCCACGGTCAAGAATATCATCCGTTGTTGACTTTACCCTACATCATGTTGATGTGCCTGTCGAAAGTCAAGAACATCGTCGGTGGGTGTCTTTACCCTGCAACATGTTGTTGTTTCTGTCTAAAGGCTAGAACGTTGACAGTGTTTGTCTTTACCCTACATCATGTTGATGTGCCTGTCCAAGGTCAAGAACGTCGTCAGTATTTGTCCTTACCCTTAAGGATGTTGTTTTGCATATCCAAGGTCAAGGACATCATCAGTGGTTTTCTTTACCCTACACCATGTTGCTTTGTCGGTTCAAAGTCAAGAATTTTGCTAATGATTTGTCTTTAGCCTACATCATGGTGATGCGCATGTCCACAGTGAATGTTCTTTTCAGTAGTTGTCTTTACCTACAACCAGATCTTATTCTTGCCCAAAGTCAAGAACCATGTAAATGATTGTATTTACCATACACCATCTTTATATTTATGTTTAAAGTATAGAATATCACAAGTACCTTTTTGTTTGTTATTTTTTTTAAAGTAAACTTTCATTTTTGAAATTTCAGCTTTGATTGCAAATCCCCGGATGTCTTTGTTAATGAAAGTAATGAACTTATTCAAATGTTATGTACATACCTGGCGATTGGAAGCCTTATTAACTTATTAGTCGTATGGGTAGTGTTGATACCATTCAAGTTATGTTTATTTTTATTATCTAGTATTTCAGATCCTGAACAACGAAGACTATCAGCTATCTCCAGCATTGAATTTTTCCACACGTATTACGTGTACAACATGGGTCCAAGCCCAATGTCTATAGCTGTTGTCAGAGTGTGTCTTCCGGTATTATCAACACAAGTTCTGGAAGTTCGGGTATGATATCAGTATTAAGGTATAAGTGCAGATGCCATGTTTGTCTTCTTGAAGCATCAACAAAGGTTAAGGTATGGTATGGATATTAAGGTATAAGTGAACATGCCATGTTTGTCTGTCTGTAGCATCAACAAAGGTTTTGGTATGAGATCAATATTAAGGTATAAGTGCATATGACATGTTCGTCTTCCTGTAGCATTAACAACGGTTCGGATTGGGTATCAATATTAAGGTATAAGTGCATATGACATGTTCGTCTTCCTGTAGCATTAACAACGGTTCGGATTGGGTATCAATATTAAGGTATAAGTGCACATGATATGTCTGTCTTCCTGAAGCATCAACACAGGTTTGGATAGGATATCAATATTAAGGTACAAGTGCACATGACATGTTTGTCTGCCAGTATCATCAACAGAGGTCTGGGTAAACTATTATATCAATATGAAGGTATAAGTGTTCATGTCATGTTTGTCTGCCTGTATCATCAACAGAGGTCTGGGTAAACTATTATATCAATATGAAGGTTTAAGTGTTCATGTCATGTTTGTCGCCCTGTAGCATCAACAGAGGTTCGAATAGGATATCAATATTAAGGTATAAGAGCGCATGAAATTTTTGTCGTCCTGAAGCATCAACAGAGGTTCGAATAGGATATCAACATGATCAATAACAAGATTGAAGTGCGCATGACCCTTTACGTTTTTCTTCCTGCAGTATCAACAAATATGCGGTTATGTTGATAATGATGGATGGCTGTTCAAATTGGTTATGAAATCAATATATTATTGTAAGGCAAGTGAGAGTTATTGATTAAAACGGATATAATTTGTTTCCTGCCTAAATGTACTTTACATCATTATTGTCTATCTTCGCCTCATATTGTCAAAAATATAATAAACCCCCAAAAAAGTATATGTCACGGAGCTTTTTTCAAGATACAGGCTGTGCAGAATTGTCCGATATTGTATATGTGATATCTATGTGGAGTGTTGAATAAGGAACCCTAAATACAGTTGAAACGGACATGGTGTTATTTGATTATCCGGAATTTCACTTTTTACATATAGATTACACATACTGGAAAACACGATTATGCGTGAATATGAATTAAACTTAACGATCGAATTTAAAAAAAAAGATAAAAAAAAAATACACTATGAGAATAAAGCTCTTATATATAAATTCCTTCATAAAATAAGATGGTATGAGTTATTGCCCCTATATCAATGAGTTGGGGGAAATAAATGATTCTAACAAGAAGTATTTTAATCGTAGCAATAAGATAAAACACGTATTTTTTACTTTAAGATTAAAACTCTTATTAATTGATTGCATTATTTCCATATTTCATTTAAAGATCTTAACCGATTGCTTTCTGCTAATTTAAAATCCTTAAATACTCCGAACACGTTTGTGTTTTTCAATAAAATAGCAGCGGACCTTTGTTCCTGTACCTGCGTTTTTTAAGTTTTTCCATCTTCCTGGTTCGTTGTTTTTGATCCTCTTCCTGTATCATTACTTTTGTCCCTGTACCAGTGCTGTTACTTTTGTCTCAGTGTATGTATTGTTACCTTTATCCTTGTACATTTGTTGCTACTGATGTACCTGTACCTGTACTGTTACTTTTGTCTCAGTGTATGTATTGTTACCTATATCCTTGTACATTTGTTGCTACTGATGTACCTGTACCAGTGCTGTTACTTTTGTCTCAGTGTATGTATTGTTACCTTTATCCTTGTACATTTGTTGCTACTGATGTACCTGTACCAGTACTGTTACTTTTGTCTCAGTGTATGTATTGTTACCTTTATCCTTGTACATTTGTTGCTACTGATGTACCTGTACCTGTATTGTTACTTTTGTCTCAGTGTATGTATTGTTACCTTTATCCTTGTACATTTGTTGCTACTGATGTACCTGTACCTGTATTGTTACTTTTTGTGCATATGCCTGTGTTGTCAATTATGTATCAATACCTGTGAGGTGACTTCTGCTCTATACCCATGTCGTTCCTATTGTTTCTGTGCCTCTTTTATTATTTTTATGTTTGACTTTTTGTTCCTTTCGTCTCTGTACCTGTTTTGTTGCATTTGTTCGTGTACCTGTTTTGTTGCATTTGTCCTTGTACCTGTGTTGTTACGTTTGTTTGAGGACCTGTGTTGTTACTTTTGTTTGTTAACTTGTGTCGTTATGTTTGTCTCTATCTTTGTGTTGTTACCTTTGCCTGTGTCTCTGTGTTGTTACCTTTGTCTCTGTACCTGTGTAATTACCTTTGTCACTGTCTCTGTGTTGTTACCTTTATCACTATACCTGTTTTCTTACCTTTATCTCTGTACCTGTGTTATTACCTTTGTCTCTGTACCTGTGTTGTTACCTTTATCACTGTACCTGTTTTGTTACCTTTATCTCTGTACCTGTGTTGTTTTCTTTGTCTTTGTCTCTGTGTTGCTTCTTTTGTCTCTGTCCCTGTAGTGTTACCTTTGTCTATGTCTTTGTGTTGCTACCTTTGTCTCTGTCCGCGTGTAGTTCCCTTAGTCTTTGTGTCTGTGTTGTTACCTTTGTCTCTTTCTCTATGCTGATACTTTGTCCCTGTCCCTGTGTTGTTACCTTTGTCTCTGTATGTGTGGTGTTACTTTTGTTACTGTCTCTGTGTTGTTACCTTTGTCCCTATATTTTTGTTGTTACTTTTGTCTATGTCTCTCTGTTGCTACCTTTGTCTCTGTCTCTGTGTGTTACCTTTGTCTCTTTCTCTTTGATGTTACCTTTGTCCCTGTATAGTTACCTTTTTCTATGTATATGTGTTGTTACTTTTGTCTCTGTCTCTATGTTGTTACCTTTGTCCCTGTATTTGTGTTATTACCTTTGTCCATACATTTGTGTTATTACCTCTGTCCCTGTACCTGTGTTGTTACCTTTGTCCCTGTATTTGTGTTGTTACCTTTGTCCCTGTATTTGTGTTATTATCTCAGTCCCTGTATTTGTGTTGTTAACTGTGTCCCTGTATTTTTGTTGTTACCTTTGTCTCTGTATTTGTGTTGTTACCTTTGTCCATGTATTTGTGTTGTTACCTCTGTCCCTGTACATGTGTTGTTACTGTTGTCCCTGACATCTGTTTTCACTTTTTCCCCTGTAAGTATTGTGCGCGCTTTTGTCCCTGTTTCTGTGTATTTTTCTTTTGTCTGCGACTATAATTTCAGTCTTCAAGCATGTAAGTTATAGACATCCCATTGCAAATTTATCATCCCAAGTCTGATTTGACGTGACAACATGTTTGGTCTTGGACACGGAATAATTCTATTAGAATATGTTTGTGAAATGTTGACCTGACACAATATAGAAAAATATTGAAGGCTTGACCAATCCTCAAATTAATCTGTTTTGTTTGAAACGCACCTAAAATAGATATGAAGGAACACTGTCACTTTAGGAAGACCTATTAAGGATTGATTGTTTAATAGAATAAACTTCAGGATTGAATAGTTAGCGAAAGCTTTTGAAAGCTTTTTTTATCTATTTTCTTAGAAAATGCAAAATATCATCCAATACAAACTTAGCATGCTTCTCTTTGCGTCATATGATTACAATTTGATAAATACACTTTCTATATCTTATTTCATTTGAAGATCTTCTCCATATTTTTAGGTTAAATCTAAAAGCGACAAGACAACATGGAATGTTGATGAAAATGGAAGAAAGATTGATAAGATGCATGAAGGAGAAACTCATATTTCGCAGAAAAAAAAGAAACCAACGTTTGGAGAAATAGTGATTACGATTATTTTATATTAGTTATATATCTCTTTAATTGACATTCAACACCTGGTAGTCTGAATTTAACATAATTTGTTGAGAGAAAAAAAAAGAATACAATGCATTAATTTAAAACACATAATCACAATAAGCTCTTGCTTTAAAAAAAAGAGCAAAGGAGCAAAACTTGTATTGCTGTTCTTCGTCTACAAGTCACAACGAGGCCTTCAACATGGAACAAAACCTCGATATACTACAAGTTGTAAATAGCATCGGATCTCATCATTAATACTTTTGGTTAACTTCCCACATCTTCTGTTATAAGAATAGTGAAACATAGTAAAACCGTTGTAATCAACATTCTTGTGTCATTCTATAGTACTTTATTTTTGCGAATCCTGTCTCCTACGTCACTATTGTTAAATTTTTTCCGCTATCTGGTTTTCTACTGTCTCCCGAGTGTGTGCATGGGAGCTCTGTCACGTAACAACTCAATAATTTTACTACTATCTGGTCCGCTCTTGTCCCCCGAGTGTGAGCATAGGTAGATGTATCATACTTTTATATTCACTACTAGTATCTGGTTTACTGTTGTCCCCCGAGTGTGAGCCTGAGCATACATTTATATCCAATAGTGTTTACCAATCTCTGTTTCGCTGTTGTCCCCCGAGTGTGAGCCTGAGCATACATTTATATCCAATAGTGTTTACCACTATCTGGTTTACTGTTGTCCCCCGAGTGTGAGCCTGAGCATACATTTATATCCAATAGTGTTTACCACTATCTGGTTTACTGTTGTCCCCCGAGTGTGAGCCTGAGCATACATTTATATCCAATAGTGTTTACCACTATCTGGTTTACTGTTGTCCTCCGAGTGTGAGCCTGAGCATACATTTATATCCAATAGTGTTTACCACTATCTGGTTTACTGTTGTCCCCCGAGTGTGAGCCTGAGCATACATTTATATCCAATAGTGTTTACCACTATTTGGTTTACTGTTGTCCCCCGAGTGTGAGCCTGAGCATACATTTATATCCAATAGTGTTTACCACTATCTGGTTTACTGTTGTCCCCCGAGTGTGAGCCTGAGCATACATTTATATCCAATAGTGTTTACCACTATCTGGTTTAATGTTGTCCCCCGAGTGTGAGCCTGAGCATACATTTATATCCAATAGTGTTTACCACTATCTGGTTTACTGTTGTCCCCCGAGTGTGAGCCTGAGCATACATTTATATCCAATAGTGTTTACCACTATCTGGTTTACTGTTGTCCCTCGAGTGTGAGCCTGAGCATACATTTATATCCAATAGTGTTTACCACTATCTGGTTTACTGTTGTCCCCCGAGTGTGAGCCTGAGCATACATTTATATCCAATAGTGTTTACCACTATCTGGTTTACTGTTGTCCCCCGAGTGTGAGCCTGAGCATACATTTATATCCAATAGTGTTTACCAATCTCTGTTTCGCTGTTGTCCCCCGAGTGTGAGCCTGAGCATACATTTATATCCAATAGTGTTTACCAATCTCTGTTTCGCTGTTGTCCCCCGAGTGTGAGCCTGAGCATACATTTATATCCAATAGTGTTTACCAATCTCTGTTTCGCTGTTGTCCCCTGAGTGTGACCATGGATGAATGTACTAGTATTATACCGTAATTTTACCTCTATCTGGTTCTCTGCTGTCCCCAAGGAGTGAGCATAGCTAGCCGTACCATACGTTTACTATTCCGTAATTTTAGCACTATCTGGTTCGCTCCTGTCCCCAAAGAGTGAGTATAGGTAGCCGTATCATACGTTTACTATTCCGTAATTTTAGCACTATCTGGTTTGCTCCTGTCCCCAAAGAGTGATCATAGGTAGCCGTACCATACGTTTACTATTCCGTAATTTTAGCACTATCTGCTTCGATCCTGTCCCCAAAGAGTGAGTATAGGTAGCCGTACCATACGTTTACTAATTCCGTAATTTTAGAACTATCTGGTTCGCTCCTGTCCCCAAAGAGTAAGCATAGATAGCCGTACCATACGTTTACTATTCCGTAATATCAGCACAATCTGGTTCTCTGCTGTCCCCAAAGAGTGAGCATAGATAGCCGTACTACACGTTTACTATTCCGTAATTTTAGCACTATCTGCTTCTCTGCTGTCCCGAAAGAGTGAGTTTAGGTAGCCGTACTGTACGTTTACTATTCCGTAATTTAAGCACTATCTGGTTCTCTGCTGTCCCCAAAGAGTAAGCATAGGTAGCCGTACCATACGTTTACTATTCCGTAATTTAAGCACTATCTGGTTCGCTCCTGTTCTCAAAGAGTGAGCATAGGTAGATGATGCATACGTTTACTACTCCGTAATTTTAGCACTATCTGGTTCGCTCCTGTCCCCAAAGAGTGAATATAGGTTTACTATTCCGTAATTTTAGCACTATCTGGTTCGCTCCTGTCCCCCAAAGAGTGAGTATAGGTAGCCGTATCATACGTTTACTATTCCGTAATTTTAGCACTATCTGGTTCGCTCCCTGTCCCGAAAGAGTGAGCATAGGTAGCCGTACTATACGTTTACTATTCCGTAATTTTAGCACTATCTGGTTCTCTGCTGTCCCCAAAGAGTAAGTTTAGGTAGCCGTTCCATACCTTTACTATTCCGTAATTTTAGCACTATCTGGTTCGCTCCTGTCCCCAAAGAGTGAGCATAGGTAGTCGTTCCATACGTTTACTATTCCGTAATTTTAGCACTATCTGGTTCTCTGCTGTCCCCAAAGAGTGCGTTTAGGTAGCCGTATCATACGTTTACTATTCCGTAATTTAAGCATTATCTGTTCTCTGCTGTACCCAAAGAGTAAGCATAGGTAGCCGTACCATACCTTTACTATTCCGTAATTTTAGCACTATCTGGTTCGCTCCTGTCCCCCAAAGAGTGAGTATAGGTAGCCGTATCATACGTTTACTATTCCGTAATTTTAGCACTATCTGGTTCGCTCCTGTCCCCCAAAGAGTGAGTATAGGTAGCCGTACCATACCTTTACTATTCCGTAATTTTAGCACTATCTGGTTCGCTCCTGTCCCCAAAGAGTGAGCATAGGTAGTCGTTCCATACGTTTACTATTCCGTAATTTTAGCACTATCTGGTTCTCTGCTGTCCCCAAAGAGTGCGTTTAGGTAGCCGTATCATACGTTTACTATTCCGTAATTTTAGCATTATCTGGTTTGCTCCTGTCCCCAAAGAGTGAGCATAGGTAGCCGTACCATACGTTTACTTTTCCGTAATTTTAGCACTATCTGGTTCTCTGCTGTCTCATGAGTCATAGCATAGCAAATGACATGATGAATGCTACAATGATCTACTATAAATTATATCGACTTCAGACTGATTCAGTTGTTTTGTTCAGTCCTTTTTTTTGGTTCGATTTTCTTTAATGTTTTATATTTGTCGTTTCCTGCTGTTTTGGAGAAGGCCAAATGCAAATATAGCATTTTGAGATATAATTATTTTTAATTTGGTTGTATACACGTAAAAAATAGAATCTTTCAAAAAGGGGGTAGAAAAACGTCAAAAAGAAGGGAAAAAAAGAAGAAAACCATTACGAACAAAAAGTTATTGGAAGAAAAAAACGTCAATTCTGACCGATTACTTTATAAGAAAAAATCAAATTACTTTGCAGTATGTTACATAATTTTCTAATATTTTTTCAGTCATGTGATACTGTTGACGAAACCATGAATGTAATTTATGACGTCACAATCAAACAAGTAGACCCTGACGAAACCATTCAGATTGAATTTAAGGTTGTTCTTCAAGAAAGTGATTTAATATTTGATAAGGTAAGTGAAAATTGGGGTTTTCTGCAATACATCCTTTTACTAACTTTTGAAAACATTTTGCCCGAATGAAGAATTGAGACCAACTAATTTTCATAGAAATAGGGAAATTCATTTTTCACAAACGTTTAAATTTAAGTTTTATATATGTTCTATTTCTTTTTTTATATCGTGCATTTATCTTTGCACCTAATATGGTTTTGCGAACAATTGTCATTATTTTTCGTTATTTGCCCTGTGTTTGTTATATGATTGTTGTTTTACTAACGTCTTAACATTACATTTGTATCATTAAATTTTTTACTGAACCACCGGCGCTTGTGGCATGTATAATAAAATTGAGAATGGAAATGGGGAATGTGTTAAAGAGACAACAACCCGACCAAAGAGCGCAAAACAGCCGAAGGCCACCAATGGGTCTTCAACACAGCGAGAAAATCCCGCCTCTTTTTGTGTTTAAATTGCTTTAATATAAAAATAAGGAGATGAGGTATGATTGCCAATGAGACAACTATCCACCAAAGTTCAAATTAAGCGGATGTAAGAAATAATAGGCAACCGTACGGCCTTCAACAATGAAAAAAAGAACCATACCGTATAGTCGGCTATAAAAGGCCCCGACATAAAAATTATGAAACAATTCATTTGAGAAAACCAATGGCCTAATGTATAACAAAACAATTTACGAAAAACAAATATGACAGACATGAACCGACGACAACCACTAAACTACAGGCTACTGAGTTGGGAGAGGCACATAAAACATATTTGTAAGCGCCCAACCCTCCCCCTAACCGGGGACAGTGTAACAGCACAACATAAGAACAAACTATAAAAATCAGTTGAAAAAAAGCTTAACTCATCAAATGGATACAAAGCAGATAAAATCACACAATAACACGGACCAAACGTGGCAGGGTATTTATCCATCCCTCATCCCTAACAAGAAGGACACTAAGTACAGATCTGAGAGTACTCGCAGTTACTGACAGCTAGTTCAAAGCCAATGACAACTAAAAAAAAAAAATCATGTATCTAAGACTAAAATATCAATCAGTATACATAACATCCAATGGATTTAGTGTAAAGACGTCATTTACGATCAGAGAAAAACATCACCTTGTGCAATGCCAAAATAAAGGTATCGACAGATTGTAGTATCGCTAAAGTGCATATGTGTATAACAAAACTATTTAGTATGATTTTAATTTACTGATAACAAAATCAATATTTATACTAATAAAAACAACATTCAAAGATCTAATTACAGTGTTGAATTTGTAACCTTTTAGAATAAGTTTATTTAAAGGATTGATAAGTTTACCCGGATCGTATATAAATTTCCATATATTCATAAAATGTTTCTTTATCATACATTTCGTACTTGTTACTGCGATTTTGAATATTTGATAAAGATGGAAACTCCAGACCTGTATCGTATACTCTGTATCACACCTCCTGTATCGCATCTCTTTTGGAACATCTCGTCACTGTTTTCGAAATTTTATCTATCGAGACGTCAAACTGTGAAGAAAAAGATGACATTTTCGACTGATTTTAATAGTTAGCTTGAAAAATAGTTCATGGACTTATCTTTATCAAAATGGCTTGATAATGTATGAAGATTATCTATACCATTTTTCATGAACAAATCACCGATGATTTTTTTACATTAAAAATGCCGTTTTTGTTTTTGTTTTCTAAAATCATGAAAATTTGATAAAAATGAATTATTTTCAAAGAATTGTAACACAAATATAGAGCATACTTATTTTAAAAAGATATTCCAAATGTTTTTTTTTCTGAAAATCGGCTCTCTGCTTGAAGACCCATAAGTAGCCTTGGGCTGATTTTCCATTCTCTTTTCTATTGTGTTTATCTTTTCAAACAAAAAAAATCTAGGTATGCCTGTTAAAAGGATGATATTTCGAAGAAAACGTCTAAAATTTCGACCCATTTATCTCTAAAAGTAGCGTATGAAGGTTTGTTTTTATTTCAAATTTGAATTGCTGATACATTATAGCTTGTATACAAATTATCGTCCAAAAATCATCCTGGGCTCCAAACTGTATCGTATGTCCATAAGCCCCACTCCGCGGACAATGGAAATGGGAGAAAAAAAAAACGCATTTTCATCAGGCAAAAGTTACATCAATACTAAAAGCATAGCAGTGAATAGGCGTATTCTTCAGGCATAAGTATCCTCAATACTAAAACATAGCAGTGACCAGACCTATAAAATTAACAAGCATAAGTAACGCGGTAGGTATAGTGTCCGGCTGAGATCGTGTTTTTTCAAGTGAATCGGTCCACTTTTGTTCGAGTGTAGATCAGGTTTTTTCTAGTGACATTACATGCGATCAGATCAATTTACTGCTATTTTGTAAGTATAATAGTTTTATTCATGGCTGTTCGTCTCAATCTGATTACTATAGGGGAACAAGATACGCACAATTTCCTTGAATTTCTCTTAAAAGTCAGCGTTTTACATTGTCCGTTTTTTTTCGAGAGCAACATTCAAAACGTCCAGGTTTTTTAACAAGCGGTCTGGTTTTTACATCCTGAACGCTCAAAGCCGAAAATGTGACAGCCAGAGATTAAAAGATACGAAACAGTTGAACAGCTCTATTACCAAAAGGCACATAAAAAAGGTCTCCATCTAAGGTTCAATTTTGCAATTTGTTTGCAATTTATAAACAGACAAATTAAGATGATTAATTGTTGGTTGCTTAACTTCCAGTGGCAAACATTTCATGCATGTTCAGGACGAGAACATATTAACAATAAATACAATAGGTAGGTCTTGTAGAAGTAGCCTTTCGGGATGAAGGTCAGGAAATTTAGACTGCCACTACAAACTGAGTGTATATTGAATAGGGACAGAAATTTTGCCTTGCAACAGGCCACCTTCAGACCCCTGAAAGAGTTGTTGCAAGGCTTGTTAACTTGCAGAGAGCATGGGACGCTCTCTACACGCCCATTCAGACCAGACGTGACTGTGTACTTGTACATCCAGCACAGACCAATTTGGCAAGGGTTTTAATGCCGGTCGGAAGAGTACTTTATTTAGTGACCATATTTCTTTTCCCCAGTCCCCCTTGGAGGTAAACAATTTAAGAAAGCTTTGTTATTAATCATGTCAGTACTGACTCCAGAGCAGATGATTAACCTGGGGGAGTTATCCAATGTATTTAATAAACAATGAAATAAATAATCAATAAGCTTTAATACGATCCTTTTGAAATAAAATAAAATGAAAACGAAATGTGTGTATAATATGCGTATACCTCACAAAGATACATTGTTAATTTTTATTCTTTTCATTTCTGATTGAAAGAAAGCTATGACGGAGCTTTATTTCTATGTGACCAAGCATAACATACGCTTGATCAGACTCCTCTTCACAGTAGGAGCATTTAAACATTGTTCTTGTTTTCCATTTCTAGAACAATAAAACATATTACCATCAAGACACATTTAGGATGTACAAATTGAAGTTTCTGTTAAAAAACACACATTTACCCGCTTTACACACTATGTGTACATCCGTCTTGATCCAACATGACGGTGCTCACATAAAGATTGTTCACATCACGTAAATTTACTGTATGGAATCGACATCGGTAAACGTATGTGTGAATCTATAAACATGGGCACACGGGTGTGGACATTTTGGGTCGATCCAAACATACGTAAACCTGTGATTACAGTGGACGTGCATGATGTGAACAGTCTTTACTTGGGTGACATATTTGATATTTCCAAATTTAAGTATTCTTACGTCCATGTTATTTATAAGAATTGGAGAACAACAATACTAATATGATATTACCATGATTATTACGTGATTATTTCTGTATTGGCCTTGTTATTGGTCCGAGGCTTGCTGTGATGGCGAAACAAATAACAGGGCCAATACAGAAATAATCACGTACCGATATCTGTATTAATTAACTACAGTTTGTGTTTTATTTTATTTCACAATGGTTTAGCATTTTTTACCTTGAAATGATACTACCCAAATCTGAGTTTCCTTTTATAAGCTACATAGTCAACTGATCTAATGCTGTTTCGAGGTGTCTTCTACATTTTTGATGAATTTCTAACTCTTTTCAGTTGCTATAAAGTTTTACAATTCATATTTAGACGTAGCACATTAATAGTAATTGTAAAGATACTGCCTTGCAAGAGAGACGCCGAAACAAAAGGATTAAATAAAACTAGAAGTTGAAAAGCTAATGAGACAACTATCTATAGACCAACTGACCAAAGAACAAAGACTTCAACAATTACAGGCCACCCTTCAACAATTCAAATGCCTGGTTCGTTGCACGAACCTGAAATAATTATATTATCTGCTAACAAAAAGCTTTTTTCAATGAATGTGACCGTCTCCAGCTTGAAATATGTGCCCCACTGAAAGTTTTGTCATGTTTATGGTTTGTAATTAAAACAAAGTCTTCCAAACGACAGTTTATATCTGTGTTGTTGTTCGTCCTGACTTTCGATCTACAATCTAGAGACGTTCCGAAATCCTGTATTGGCTGGATTAGAACTCGGCCAATACGAAAAAAAAAATCATTATTGGCCGAGTTGACACTTTTGTATAGCAGTTTTCTTCATATTAAGTCTAGTAACAGGGTAGTTAATTAATAAATGTATATACAAATGCACAATAATGAAAAGTACGTGTTAATACAGCATTATCAAACTTGACATTTGTTTCATGTTTTGAAGATTTCTTTATTAGAATCTTTTCATTGTTTTAAACGGAAATGCACGGACATATTACTTTTTTAACCATAGGATTTTTTTCCTTTTTCATACGGACGCACTCGAAAATACACGGACTGCTCTCGAAAATACACGGACATATAAAAATGAATTTACTCTCCAAAATGTTCATATCGATGCAATGACAAGAATTTTTGTAAAAGTCTGTATACCTAAGTATATATAGATTCCATGTATGCATTTCCTTTGACATTTGCATCGGTATGTGTATAGAAATAGCTTTAATCTATATTTTGGAATAAAGCATTGTAAGACTGAAATAAAAGTTTTTAAAACAACAAAATGTAGGATTGATAATATCTTTTTATCAAATACTTATTAACCTTGTATGATCTTGTATATTAGGTTCATGTGTCTTTTTTTTTAACGTCTTACTAGAATGGATGTCTGTTTGTTTACATTTTTGATCATATTCACTTGAAAAAACGTGGTCGCACTCGAAAAAACCCGATCAAATCACTCGAAAACACACGATCCCAACCGGACACTATACCTACTACATGTAACTAGTAACGCCAATAATAAAAAGCATAGCAGTGAATATGCGTATATTTATGAGTTATCACAAACATCAATACAAAAAGCATAGCAGTGACTAGGCGTATTCAACATGCATCAGAAACGTCAATACAAAAAGCATAGCAGTGACTAAGCGTATTCAACATGCATCAGAAACGTCAATACAAAAAGCGTAACAGTGACAAGGCGTATTTAAAATGCATCATACACGTCAATACTAAAAGCATAGTAGTGAATATTCATATTCATCAGGCATCAGTAACGTCAATACAAAAAGCATAGTAGTGAATATGCATATTCATTAGGCATCAGTAACGTCAATACTAAAAGCATAGTAGTGAATATGCATATTCATCAGGCATCAGTAACGTCAATACTAAAAGCATAGTAGTGAATATGCATATTCATCAGGCATCAGTAACGTCAATACAAAAAGCATAGTAGTGAATATGCATATTCATTAGGCATCAGTAACGTCAATACTAAAAGCATAGTAGTGAATATGCATATTCATTAGGCATCAGTAACGTCAATACTAAAAGCATAGTAGTGAATATGCATATTCATTAGGCATCAGTAACGTCAATACTAAAAGCATAGTAGTGAATATGCACATTCATCAGGCATCAGTAACGTCAATACAAAAAGAATAGCAGTGACTAGACATTAAGCCCTTTTCTACTGATTTTTATGGTTTGTTCATATGTTGTACTGCTATACCACTGTTCAGGTTAGGGGAAGGGTTGGGCACCCGCTAACATGTTAAACACCACCACATCTTCTGTATGTGCCTGTCCAGAGTCAGGATCCTGTAATGCAGTGGTTGTCGTTTGTTGCTGTATACCATATTTGTATTTCGTTCATTGATTTTTACATAAATCGGGCCGTTGGTTCTCTCGTTTGAGTGGTTTTACATTTGTCATTTTGGGGCATTTTATAGCTGACTATGCGGTATGGGTTTTGCTCATTGATGAAACCGTACGGTGAACTATAGTTGTTAACTTCTATGTCATTCGGTCTCTGGTGGAGTGATGTCTCATTAGCAGTTATACCACATCTTATGTTTATATATTCATCAGGCATCAGGACTAATGACTATGCATATTCACCAGGCATCAGGACTAATGACTATGCATATTCAACAAGCATCAGTCACGTCGATAATAAAACTTTTTAAGCATAGCAGTGAATAATCATATCTATTGGGCCTCAGAAACGACAATACAAGAAGCATAGCAGTGAATATGCATATTCATCAGGCATTAGTAACGTCATTACAAAAAGCATAGCAGTGAATATGCATATTTATCAGGCACCAGAAACGTCTATACAGAAAGCATAGCAGTGACTAGGCATATTTGTCAGGCATCAGAAACTTCAATACATAAAACGTAGCAGTGACTAGGCGTATTCAACAGGCATAAGTAATTTTATTACTAAAAAGCCTAGGAGTGAATAGGCGTATTCATCAGGCATAAGTAACGCCATTACAAAAAAGCCTGGGATTGCATAGGTGTATTCATCAAGCATCAGTCACGTCATTACTCAAAAGCATAGGAGTGAATAGGCGTATTCATCAGGCATCAGCCACGTCATTACTCAAAAGCATAGGAGTGAATAGGCGTATTCATCAGGCATAAGTAACGTCATTACCCAAAAGCATAGGAGTGAATAGGCGTATTCATCAGGCCTAAGTAACGCCATTACTAAAAAGCATAGGAGTAAATAGGAGTATTCATCAGGCATCAGTCACGTGAATACTAAAAACAAAGCAGTGACTATGCATTTCGAAGTCGATTGTCTTTCTTTACCCCGCAGGCTCGTTATTAAACTGTGTTTCACTCTTTCCTGGCTGTTTGTAAAGTCTAAAAAAAACGTACTTAGAATACTGTAATTGTCCAATTGGTATTTTCTGTCTCTGTTTGTAAAGACTAAATAAACGTACTTAGAACACTGTAATTAAAATGTTCTTGTTGTTTTATTATTTTTTGCTTTGGTTTGCCTGTGGGATACGCCTGATCACTTTTTGTTTTAGTATTACTATAGCCACTGTGTTTCATCGCCTCAGGAAATTAGGTACTATTGAAGCGGTGAGAAAGGACAAAAAATAAGCAAGTTAAGATCTTCTTTTATTTAAACCATTTCAATCAATTTGATGAGGTTAACGCTTGTGAAATATTTTTCTTAATGTATGCTGCTTTATGTTTTTGTGCTAATAAGTACCAAACAAAGACAATATTTAGTGTATAACATGTGCATCTAGTACCTGACAAAGACAGTATTTAGTGTATAACATGTACACCAAGTACCTGAAAATTTCGTGATCGGTTGTCTTTCGTCGCCTTGTCATTTTTACTCATACTCATCATGCCATAGAGTGTCTAATCGCTGTTAACTTAACTTTGGTACCTATTCATTTCTTTTAATAACATACATTTTTGTAACATTTTTTATAGTACTTGGAAACAAAATATTCAGATTTCAAACATTTAGCATTCACTATTTAAAGCAAAATGAAATAAATTGTACCATGTTAATTAAAAGAGAGGCGAAAGATACCAGAGGGACATTCAAACTCATAAGTCGAAAATAAACTGACAACGCCATGGCTAAAAAAGAAATAAACCAACAGACAAACAATAGTACACAAAACACAACAAAGAAAACTAAAGACTGAGCAACACGAACCCCACCAAATCTGGGGGTGATCTCAGGTGTCACGGAAGGGTAAGCAGATCCTGCTCCACATTAAATCTACACTAGCCTTCTTAAGATATATTCTGGCTAATGAATTCGGACATACCGTGAAATTGTCGTTATTTTTCGTTAATACTAATTGGAATGATTTAAATGGAAGAAGATCTAAACTTGTTTATTTTTTGTCCTTTTTCACCGCTTCGATAGTACCCAATTTCCGGTTGCGATGAAACACAGTCGCTAATGCTAAAACAAAAAGTGATCAGGCGTATCCCACAGGCAAACGGAACGCATGATATAATTTAAAAACAACAATATCAGTTTAATAACAGTGTTATTAATACGTTTAGTTAGCCTATACAAACAGACAGAAAATACCAATTGGACAAATAGAGTGTTATGAGTACGTTTAGTTAGCCTTAACAAACAGACAGCAATACCAATTGGACAAATAGAGTGTTATGAGTACGTTTAGTTAGCCTTTACAAACAGACAGCAATACCAATTGGACAAATAGAGTGTTATGAGTACGTTTAGTTAGCCTTTACAAACAGACAGAAAATACCAATTGGACAAATAGAGTGTTATGAGTACGTTTAGTTAGCCTTTACAAACAGACAGAAAATACCAATTGGACAAATAGAGTGTTATGAGTACGTTTAGTTAGCCTTTACAAACAGACAGAAAATACCAATTGGACAAATAGAGTGTTATGAGTACGTTTAGTTAGCCTTTACAAACAGACAGAAAATACCAATTAGACAAATAGAGTGTTATGAGTACGTTTAGTAAGCCTTTACAAACAGACAGCAATACCAATTGGACAAATACAGTGTTATGAGTACGTTTAGTTAGCCTTTACAAACAGACAGAAAATACCAATTGGGCAAATAGAGTGTTATGAGTACGTTTAGTTAGCCTTTACAAACAGACAGAAAATACCAATTGGACAAATACAGTGTCTTAATATAAAAACAAGAAGATGTGGTATGATAGCAAATGAGACAATTCTCTATCAGAGACCAAACCCTACCAAATGAACGCAGGTATACAATATTAAAAATTATATACAGGAAATACCAGAAGTTACACTATATATTCAAAAATGGTAAGCATATCCGAGCTTCATATAAATTTCATGATAAACAATGTACTTAGAAAAGGGGTAAATGAGACAATTCTCCACCAGAGACCAAGCCCCACCAAAGAACGCAGGTATACAAGATTAAAAATTATATACAGGAAATACCAGAAGTTACACTATATATTCAAACATAGTAAGCATATCCGAGCTTCATATTAATTTCATGATAAACAATGTACTGAGAAAAAGGGAACGTGTTATTTCAGGTATCCGCTATTCTATTCAAATCAACTGGAGAAGTCATAACAACAAGTAGGAGAGACTATACAATCAAATCCTCGAATGCAACATTTCAGGTACTGACGACTACACAATTAACTCCTTGAATGCAACATTTCAGGTACTGACTACTATACAATTCTATCCTTTCGATGCAACATCTCAGGTACTGACTACTATACAATTCTATCCTTGGATGAAACATCTCAGACACTGACTACTACACAATTATATCCTTGAATGAAACATCTCAGGTACTGACTACTACACAATCAAATCATTGAATGCAACATTTCAGGCACTGACTACTACACAATTATATCCTTGAATACAAAATTTCAAGTACTGACTACTATACAATTAAATCCTTGAATGCAACATTTCAGGTACTGACTACTACACAATTAAATCCTTGGATGCAACATTTCAGGTACTGACTACTATACAATTCTATCCTTGGATGCAACATCTCAGGTACTGACTACTTAACAATTCTATCCTTCAATTCAACATCTAAGGTACTGACTACTACACATTTTTATCCTTGAATGCAACATCTCAGATACTGACTACTATACAATTCTATCCTTGAATGGAACATCTCAGGTACTGACTACTATACAATTCTATCCTTGAATGCAACATCTCAGGTACTGACTATTATACAATTCTATCCTTGAATGCAACATCTCAGGCACTGACTACTATACAATTCTATCCTTGAATGCAACATCTCAGGCACTGACTAATATACAATTCTATCCTTTAATGCAACATCTCAGGCACTGACTACTACACAATTAAATCCTTGAATGCAACATTTCAGGTACTGACTACTACACAATTCAATCCTTGAATGCAACATCTCAGGCACTGACTACTATACAATTCTATTCTTGGATGCAACATCTCAGGTACTGACTACTATACAATTATATCCTTGAATGCAACATCTCAGGCTCTGACTACTTTACAATTCTATCTTTCAATGCAACATCTCAGGCACTGACTACTATACAATTATATCCTTGAATGCAACATCTCAGGCACTGACTACTATACAATTCTATCCTTGAATGCAACATCTCAGGTACTGACTACTATACAATTCTATCCTTGAATGCAACATCTCAGACACTGACTACTATACAATTCTATCCTTGAATGCAAAATCTCAGGTACTGACTACTATATAATTCTATCCTTTAATAAAACATTTCAGGCACTGACTACTATACAATTCTATCCTTGAATGCAACATCTCAGGTACTGACTACTATACAATTCTATCCTTGAATGCAACATCTCAGGTACTGACTACTATACAATTCTATCCTTGAAAGCAACATCTCAGACACTGACTACTATACAATTCTATCCTTGAATGCAACATCTCAGACACTGACTACTGTACAATTCTATCCTTGAATGCAACATCCCAGGCACTGACTCCTATACAATTCTATCCTTTAATGTAACATTTCAGGCTCTGACTACTATACAATTCTATCCTTGAATGCAACACTTAGTACCTTAAAATTCCATCCTTGAATGCAACACTTAGTACCTTACAATTGCATTCTTGAATGCAACACTTAGTACCGTACAATTCCATCCTTGAATGCAACACCTAGTACCGTACAATTTCATCCTTGAATGCAACACTTAGTACCTTACTATTCCATTCTTGAATGCAACACTTAGTACCTTACAATTCCATCCCTGAATGCAAAACTAAGTACCTTACAATTTCATCCATGAATGCAACACTTAGTACCTTACAATTCCATCCTTGAGTGCAACACTTAGTACCTTACAATTCCATCCTTGAATGCAACACTTAGAACCTTTTAGTTCTATCCTTTAATGCAACACTTAGAACCTTACAATTCCATCCTTTAATGCAACACTTAGAACCTTTCAATTGCATTCTTGAATGCAACACTTAGTACCGTACAATTCCATCCTTGAATGCAACACTTAGTACCGTACAATTCCATCCTTGAATGCAACACTTAGTACCTTACTATTCCATTCTTGAATGCAACACTTAGTACCTTACAATTCCATCCCTGAATGCAAAACTAAGTACCTTACAATTTCATCCATGAATGCAACACTTAGTACCTTACAATTCCATCCTTGAATGCAACACTTAGAACCTTTTAGTTCTATCCTTTAATGCAACACTTAGAACCTTACAATTCCATCCTTTAATGCAACACTTAGAACCTTTCAATTGCATCCATGAATGCAACAATTTTATACATTTTTCTCAGGCTCTAACGCACTAATGTTTTTTTTGTCATGCATTAAAATATGAATAACGGTTCTGTTGGTTTTATTTTTCAATTTTAATTTCAATTAAGGGAAATCGACATAGTGTTTGCGTAAAGATAAATATGCATGCGAATTTATGTAGGAGATAAATTGTATATTTCTGAGTCTGTGTTAAGTATAGGGGTAAATTCAGTAAAACTAGATGTGTCGGAACGACATGAATGGCCCCGTTTGCTTGAAGCCATTTTTATGAGTGGAAGTCCACAGTCTGTAATTTCGGCAAAAATCAGCATCTATGTAACTCATCATAGTAGACTCACATACTAAAAATTTGTAAGGGTTCCGCGGAACCCAGTGTCTCGCCTACTTTTCTGTTAATCGCAGGCTCAACAAAAATGAGGTAGTAAATCAATAAAAATATTCCTCTTGATACTATCTTCTGATTGTAAGAAGCTTCTGTCCAAGTTTGGTAAAAATCCAGGAGAGTTTATGAATCCAATAAATGTTTAAAAAAATTTAAATGCAGACTGAATGTAATGTTAACTGGAAGAAAACAAAATTTCCTTCTAGATACTAGCATTTGATCATAAACAAGCTTCTGTCCAAGTTTGGTTCAAATCCAAAATAGTATAAGAAAGTTATTAAAATTTTAAAAACTTTAACCACAGAGTGAATATGTTGTTTCCTGGCAGAAAATCTAAGTCCATTTAAAAGTAAAATACGGAAAAAATGGATTTATTTTTTTACAAAATTTCCTTCTAGATACTAGCTTTTGATCATAAGCAAGCTTCTGTCCAAATTTGGTACAAATCCAAAATAGTATAAGAAAGTTATTAAAATTTTAAAAACTTTAACCACAGAGTGAATGTAATATTTCCCGGCAGAAAAACTAAGTCCATTTATAAGTAAAATACGAAAAAAATGGATTTATTTTTCCAAAATTTCCTTCTAGATACTATCTTATGATCATAAACAAGCTTCTGTCCAAGTTTGGTAGAAATCCAGGATAGTTTAAGAAAGTTATTAAAATTTCAAAAACTTTAACCACAGAGTGAATATTTGTGGACGCCGCCGACGACAACGACGACGACGACGACGGAACGTACGATCGCTATGTCTCGCTTTTTCGACTAAAGTCGAAGGCTCGACAAAAATCAGCTGAATATGTGAAGTGTTTATATAAAAAAAAAACATATACTACAGAACCATATACTATACAAAACCATTTATTATATAAAACCATAGACTACACAAAACCATATACTATACAAAACTATATACTATACAAAACCACATTTTATACAAATCCATTACCTATTCTTAACCATATACTATACAAAAACATATATTATATAAAACCATATACTACACAAAACCATATACTGTACAAACCACATAATACAAAACCATATACTGTACAAAACCACATACTACACAAAACGACACACTATACACAACAGCATTCTATACAAAACCATATACTACACAAAACCATATGATGTACAAAACCATATGATATACAAACCACATAATACAAAACCATATTCTATACAAAACCATATACTATATAATACCATATACTATAAAAAATCATATACTATACTACACCTATGATATACAAAATCATATACTATACAAAACCATATACTATACAAAACCATATACTATATACTACAACAATACACTATAATGTAAAGACAACCATATTTTGTACAAAAACATATACTTTACACAACCACATACTATACACAACCACATACCATAAAAAAACCATATACTATACAAAACCATATGTTATACAAAACCATATACTATACAACACTATATTACATACAAAACCACACTATCCTTAACCATATACTATACAAAACCATATAACATACAAAACCACACTATGCTTAAACATATACTATACAAAACCATATAATATACAGAATCATATACTTGAAAAAAACTTAATACTACACAAATTATAGCCTGTAGCCTGTAAAAAAAAATAAGTGCCAGCAGGTAATAAAAAAAGAAACAGAAACAGAAAACTATTATATAAGCAGTTATAGATATGTGACTGAAAAACGAGAGAATGAAAAGATATCAAGAAGGAATCAAAAACCAGAATGAATGATTATTAAAAAAAAAAAAGACAACGCCATGGCAAAAACAAAGTCAACGAAATAAGAATCGAAAGTCATTAAATCACTTAATCGTAAACTAAAGATTGTACAACAAGTATTTAACACAAAATCGGGTACTTACAATGAATTGTGTTTGATAGTGTAATTCCTGCATTTAAATTATTTTAAGGTGACGTCTGAGATTTTTCCAAAGGATTTTGCTGCGGAAACTGGCAGAATATCACTTTGGATAATTATTGGTGGATGTTTAGGAGGTTTGGCATTACTTGTAATACTTGGTGTAGTTTTATGGAAGGTATGAACAATATACATGCACACGTACGTAGAATAACCATAATCGAAGTTTCAAATCGGAATGATCTATACATAAAATAGAAATATTCTGTTATTAAGATACATAACCATTAAGAATGTACAAATAAAAAGATGTGGTATGATTGTCAATGAGACATATTTCCACCGGAGACCGAACGACGTAGAATTTAGGCACTGGCCACGGTTACATTGAAATGTAACAATAATAATAAAAGTTATTGTTACATTGGAGACCGTTTAATTACGAATGTAATAATAATATTTGTGTCTACGGTTACGTTGTGTTATTGTTACGCTAATGCACTCCAATGTATGCTGGAACTAGTAATATGTATTTAAACAAAACTTAAAAAACTTTTATTTGAATTTTAAAATATTGCATACATTTTTTTTAAATTTTTATTTACAAGGCAGTTATAATAATAGGTATCCATTCATCCATTGTTCAAAGTATAATGACAGTAATAAGGGTAGGTGTGCAGTTAAATACATAGAAGTGAACACTTTTCTTCTTAACATCAAAATATTGAACTATATTTTTCGCCTTTGGCACTACTAAACTGTAGTAGGATCTTGAAGAACATTTAAACAATTAATACATAAAACTATTTAAATACTATTTGTTGTATAATAATAATAATGATAATAATAATAATGATTATATTAATACTAATAATTAAGCAACAAAACTGTAGAAGGTTAAAGTTTAATAAATCAAACGTAACAATAACACAACGTAACCGTAGACACGAATATTATTGTTACATTTGTAATTAATCAGTTCCTTACCCAACCCTGCATTCCGGCAATTAGTCTCCACTGTAACAATAACTTTTTTTATTATTGTTACATTTCAGTGTAACCGTAGCCAGTGCCTAGAATTTAACTATAGGTCACCGAACGACCTTCAACAATGGGCGAAACCCGTACCATATGACAAGCTATACTATAGGTTGACAAATGTAAAACAATTCAAATGAGAAATCGAAAGGCCTGATCTATGTAAAATAAAAATAAACGAAAAACAAAAAAAAAGGTAAAATATGATATATACAGCAACAAACAGTGACAGTCACATACAGAATGTGGCGGGGTTAAACATGTTTTCGGGCGCCGAACCCTCCCCTAACATTGGACAGTGGTGTAACAGCACAACATTAGAACAAATTATAAGTATCAGTTGAAAAAGGCTTGATTCAATAGATAGACACACAAAATAAAACTAATAAAAAGACTTATGACACTAAGCACCAATCTGAGAGTACTCGCAGTCAATCTAGTTGTCAAGTTGGATTTTTATGGGTTGGAGGGGTCGTGTTACTCAGTCATTAGTCTTTTTTAAATTCGCAAGACAGTCTTTAAAAGGGTATTTGTCAGCAAAACAACGAACATAAACCTGGTCATATTGATACGGCAATATCACTGTATCCATGATATGATTAATCCTTGATATCCACAAAATCCGTGTCTACGAGTAAGCCAAGATTCTGATACGAGTTTGGGGAATGTAAGGAATGGTTAATGCCCTCTAAAAGCTGTGTTTCGGTTAGTTTCTTATTTTCATATCAATATTCGAAATGTCACAAGATAGAAGTAAAACGAAAATGACACTATATACATTGTATGCGTCCGAAGCACTTTATTTTACCTTCATCAACAACGTTCAAAAACATATTTGAAATCTAGGAAGAATAAGTACCGAAATATGCGAAGAGCTAAACGACCAAAATTTGACCTAAAAATAGTAGCCCAATCAATCAAAAGTCCATTTTTTAATGCGAATGAAGAACAAAAAATGCCGACTTTTATTATTTGTTATTATGTTGTGCCGTTACATCACTGTCCATGTTAGGGGGGTCGAGGGTTGGAGCACCCGCAAACATGTTTAACCCCGCCACATTCTGTATGTGCCTGTTCCAAGTTAGAAACCTGTAATTTAGTGGTTGTCGTTTGTTGCTGTATATCATATTTGTTTATTGTTTAATAATTATGTTCTTATTTTACAAAATATTTTACCATATATCGTAGGAAAAAACCAAGGAGTCCGAATATCTGACAAATATTCCTAAACCTGACCTAAGTACATCCTTAAGTCAGGTTTAGGAACTTTTGTCAGATGTTCGGACTCCTTGGTTTTTTCCCTACGATACAGGGTAAAATATTTTGCCCAATAACACCCATTTTTCTTTTCATATAAGACTTCAATAGCTCATAAAAGGTCATTTGCCAAAATTTAAGCAGATTCTAGATTTCTTTTCTTTCGAATTGAGAACCAAATAATACCAATGCAAATATAAGGTAAAAGTCCGAGTCAGCCTTTTCCCGCCAGTTAAAAAAAAATAAATATCTCAAAAAGGAGCTCCTTAACCTATAAATATTTTTAGCTTATTTTGTCCTTAATTAATGCTCATGTGATTTATAGTACCAATTTTAAATTCTAGATTTTTTTTCATTTCACCTAAGTACATCCTTAACTAAGAAAAAAAATCTTAAAAAAATCATTTATGGTTTTCAAATTTCGCCTTAAGAAATTTGTGCGACTTCAATAATCCGGTATGTTCAATAACCTCAGGTAAGTCAGCTATTGATTTATTTTTCTAAACAGAAGTAAGATAATCATGAATAGTAGTTACATGAGGATCAATCATGATTTTGTGAAAAAAATCACCAAAAGGTGTGCAGCGTTTTTAATGTCCGTCAGTATATGTACTACTTTCATGTATGTTCTTTCCGACCGAGCCCGAATTAGTGGTTCTATACCTTTAGGGGTCATTTGGTCTCTGGTAGAGAGTTGTCTAATTGGCAATCATACCACGCCTTCTTATTTTTTTAATGATTGTCTTCATTTATAACTGAAAACTATCTTATCTCAAATATTAACATAAAAAAAAAACCGTTACAGGTTCAAGAACTATATTTTTCCTTGAGCCTATCGCAATTAAACTGCATTGAAAGTGCTATGCAAGGATCGTAGACACATGCAGTCACAGTATATTAAATTAAGACTGCTATTGATATCAATCCCGATTTACTTATTGTTACGTTTGTGACCGGATCAGTGGTGAAGTTTAATCCAGGAACATGTTTGTACGGAAATCTGTATCATACTTTTTGGTCAATAATATGACAGAAAATAGCGGTGAAATGTGAGGCAGATAACTGAAAATAAGGTTTAATGTATTTGTTTTTACTAGGTTGGATTTTTCCAAAGGAAAAAGAAAGACGACATGAACAAATGGAAAAGACAGTCTGGGTATTATGCCTCCAGGAATAGTCAATATGTTGATCATGTTCCGAGACAATCAGACATGGTTAACTCTGTCCACTGGTAAAGTCGGGTCAATCAAACAATATATAACTGTGTCCACTCACTGGTCAAGCCATCTAAAAAGATAGTATTCGTGATATTGCAAACATAAGTAATTCAATTCAGTTGTTATTTCTCATTGCTCTTATTATTTATAACTAAGCTTTTTTCTAAGAGGCGTAAGTAAGTCTTGTGTCATGAATGTATTAAAACGGGGCATATTAACATTCCGTTTATAATGTTGGTACATATTCAGTCTGGTTATTGTTTATATAGAACATTAAAATTGTTCTACTGTTGTAAATAATTGGTAAACATTGTAAATAATACTATATTGTAAAATTTGGGTAGACATATTATTTTTAACCGGGTGAGGTATAAAAAAAAGCCACAAAATCTTTTTAAAAAATGGGAATAGTTCTGCCTACGACAAGATATAAAAAAAAAAGTAAAAGTAGGCTATGTCCCAAATTCTCTCTCAAATAATAATTCAATTCAAACTATTCAATTGTATCCCTAAACATGGCAAGTTCCAACAAAACCTGGAACGAACTTCTCCTCATATTGATGCATATAAAGGGTACAAAACAAGATCCAGCTGATTTCAGATTCATTTATGTTTTGTCAACACTCGGATATTTTTTACAGAGTAATTCATACTCGTCTTTTAAAATTCGTAAATGAAAAATGTCTCGTTCATTAAGATTGAATTGGTTTAACCCAAGGTTGACAATGTATGTTTACTTGTTTTTGATTAAATGTCTTTTTGATCGAGTTAAGCCATTTCAATTGATATTTTATAGTGGGTCTTTTTATGTTGTAATGTTACACTACTGTCTCGGGTTAGGACAAAGGTTGACGCCTGTTAAAACGTTTAAACCCGCTGCATTTGTATGCACCTGTCCTAAGTCAGGAGCCTGTTGTGCAGTGGTTGTCATTTGTTGGTGTGATTCATAGGTGTTTCTCGTTTCTCGTTTTTGTCGATCTTGCGAAATTTATTTCGCGAAAGCGAGACATAGCAATCCTAGATTCCGTCGTCGGCGGCGTCAACATTTAGGTTCAGTCTGTGGTTGAAGTTTTTTTGGACATCAATTACTTTGTCAAACATACTAGGAATTTTATGAAATTGGGACAGAAGCTTGTTTATGAACAAAAAACAGTATCCAGGGCAAAATTTTAAAATATTTTCTTTCATTTTTCCGTATTTTACTAATAAATGGACTTGATTTTTTTATACAGTTAACTTCAGATTTTGTCTGAGGTTAAAGTTTTTCAGTCATCAATAACTTTGTCAAACCTTCATTGAATTTTATAAAATTTCGACAAAAGCTTGTTTATGACCAAATGACAATATCCAGAGCAAAATTTTTAAAATATTTATTTTCATTTTTCCGTATTTTACTGATAAATGGACATAGTGTTTTTGCAGTTAACAAGTAGATACAGTCTGGGCTTAATGTTTATTACGCATCAATTACTTTGTCAAACCTTCATAGAGTTTTATGAAACTTTGGCAGTAGCTTTTAAATGATTAAGAGATAATGTCTGAAGCAAACCTTTGAAAATATATTTTTTTCATTTTTAAGTATTTTCTGATAGATGGACTTCATTTTTTACAGTTAACATTTAAAAACAGTCTGGGATAAAACATGTTTTACATGATAAATTTGTTAACTTTCATGGATTATTATGAAACTTGTCCAGAAGCTCACCTTTAAGACCAAAAAATAGCATCTAAAGAAAAAGTTTTTTTTTTTAATTCTGTATTTTACTGATAAATGGACTCACTTTTTAAGTCTACAGAACACTTTTAACACTGACAGCAGCAATCGCAAGCGAGACACAGCGTTACGCGGAACCCCTTATGAATTTTTTATATAGATTAGACCGTTGGTTTTCCTGTTTGCATTGTTTTACACTAGTCATTTTGGGGCCCTTTATAGCTTGCCGTTCGGTGTGAGCCAAGGCTCCGTGTCGACAGCCGTACTTTGACCTATAGTTGTTATTTTTTTATATATTGTGACTTCGATGGAGAGTTGTCTCATTGGCACTCATACCACATCTTCTTATTTGTATTAAAGAAAAAATCAAGAACTTCTGATAAATTGCTGACACTAAAAACAATTATAGAACATAATAAATCAAAAACTTCTAATCAAGAAAAAAAAAAGATATTTGCAGCATATAGATCTTAGTATATGGAGAGAAGGACTCTTTAATATCTTATTTTTAAAAGGCAGAAATCCCCATTAACATATTCTTAATCTCTAGTTCTATGTCTAATGCTACTTTTTGTAGAATTCAATTTGCAGATGGACTATGCGAACCATTGCACACACGGTACAGTGTGTTACGCTGACTAATCCCTAGAATACAAAAGTTCCTCCAGGCGACCATTGTCACCGCGTGTGGATATTGACACTTGTGCCCATTGTCAACCTAAGGATGATATTGACACTTGTGCCAATTGTCAACCGCGGGTCGATATTGACACTTGTGCCCATTGTCAACCTTGGATGGATATTGACACTTGTGCCCATTGTCAACCTTGGGTGGATATTGACACTTCTGCCCATTGTCAACCGCGGGTGGATATTGACACTTCTGTTTATTGTCAACATTGGGTGGATATTGACACTTGTGCCCATTGTCAACCTTGGGTGAATATTGACACTTGTGCCCATTGTCAACCTTGGATGAATATTGACACTTGTGACCATTGTCAACCTTGGGTGAATATTGACACTTGTGCCCATGGTCAACCTTGGATGGATATTGACACTTGTGCCCATTGTCAACCTTTGGTGGATATAGACACGTGTGCCCATTGTCAACCTTAGGTCGGATATTGACACTAGTGCCCATTGTCAACTGCGGGTGGATATTGAAACTTGTGCTCATTGTCAATCCTGGGTGGATATTGACACTAGTGCCCATTGTCAACCGCGGGTGGATATTGACACTTGTGCCCATTGTCAGCTTTGGGTGGATATTGACTCTTGTGTCCCTTGCTCTCTATGTGTGAGATAAAGTAAGGATACTTTTAAAGCCCTCTTCTCTCTAAATGTTTTGCATATACGGAGTCATTAAAGAATTTGATTTTATAGAAAATAACCATATTACATTAAACATCCTACACCCAAAAACTGTTTATTCATTCTACACACTAACATTGTTAAAACACCCTACACATCAAAACTGTTAAAACACCCTACACAAATTAATTTATTTATTTAAACTTTTTATATATAGAAGATGTGGTATGATTGCCAATGAAACAACTCTCCACAAGATACCAAATGACACAGAAATTAACAACTGTAGGTCGCCGTACGGCCTTCAACAATGAGTAAAACCCATACCGCATAGTCAGCTATAAAAGGCCCCGAAATGACAAATGTAAACAAACAAACGAGAAAACTAACGGCCTGATTTGTGCACAAAATAATGAACGAAAAACAAATGTGATATACAGCAACAAATGACAACCACTGAATTACAGAATGTGGCGGGGTCAAACTAGATTGAAGGCGCTGAAACCCTCTCCCTAACCTTGGTCAGTTGTGTAACAGTACAACATAAGAACAAACTATAAAAATCAGTTGAAAGGGGTCTAATTCATCAGATCGATACAAAGCAGAAATACATCTGACAAAAACACAGAGTGGACGTGGCAGGGTACTTATACATCCCCACAACAAAAAGACACTTGGTACAGATCTGAGAGTAATCGCAGTTACTGACAGCTAGTTAAAATCCAACAACTAATAAAAAAATTCGTAAGGGTTCCGAGGAACCCAGTGTCTCGCCTACTTTTGCTGTTAATCGCAGGCTCAACAAAAATGAGGAAAAAAATTAATAAAAATATTCCTCTCTATACTATCTTTTGATTGTAAGTAGCTTCTGTCCAAGTTTGGTAAAAATCCAGGATAGTTTATGAATCTAATAAATGTTTTAAAAACTTAAACTGCAGACTGTATGTAATGTTAACTGGAAGAAAAAATAAGTCCATTTATAAGTAAAATACGGAAAAAATGGAACAAAATTTTAACAAAATTTCCTTCTAGATACTAGTTTTTAATCATAAACAAGCTTCTGTCCAAGTTTGGTACAAATCCAGGATAGTTTAAGAAAGTTGTTAAAATTTTAAAAACTTTAACCACAGAGTGAATGTAATGTTAACTGGCAGAAAAACTAAGTCCATTTATAAGTAAAATACAGAAAAGATGGAATTTTTTTTTACAAAATTTACTTCTGGATACTATCTTATGATCATAAACAAGCTTCTTTCCAAGTTTGGTAGAAATCCAGGATAGTTTAAGAAAGTTATTAAAATTTCAAAAACTTTAACCACAGAGTGAATGTTATGTTTCCTGGCAGAAAAACTAAGTCCATTTATAAGTAAAATACGGAAAAAATGGAATTTTTTTTTTACAAAATTTACTTTTGAATATTATCTTATGATCATAAACAAGCTTCTGTCCAAGTTTGGTAGAAATCCAGGATAGTTTAAGAAAGTTATTAAAATTTCAAAAACTTTAACCACAGAGTGAATGTAATGTTTCCTGGCAGAAAAACTAAGTCCATTTATAATTAAAATACGGAAAAAATGGAATTTTTTTTTTACAAAATTTACTTTTGAATATTATCTTATGATCATAAACAAGCTTTTGTCCAAGTTTGGTAGAAATCCAGGATAGTTTAAGAAAGTTATTAAAATTTCAAAAACTTTAACCACAGAGTGAATATTTGTGGACGCCGCCGCCGCTGACGACGACGCCGGAATGTAGGATCGCTATGTCTCGCTTTTTCGACAACAGTCGAAGGCTCGACAAAAATCATGCATCTAAGACTAAAATATCAATCAGTACACATCCAACAACCAATGGATTTAGTGTAAAGACGTCATTAACAGTCAGAGAAAAACATGACATTGTGCAATGCCAAAGTACAGGTATCGACAGATTGTAGAGCCATGAATGTACATATGTATATAAAAATAATATTTTAGTTTGATTTTAGTTTGTTAGTA